TTTACATGAAGACCGCAGCTACTACCATATTATAGTAATTTTAAATAAAAAATTTTCTCCGTGTAGTATTATAAAAGTAGATAAACGCTCCAGTCGGACATTTACTTACGTCCAGATTTACACAAATATTTATTTGTTTATATAATTAATTTCAAATGCTTTTTAAAATATAATATTATAATTCAATTGTAACCTTTAAATATAACTAAACTATGAATTATATTATTGTAATAAAGCATTTGAGATTAATAATAATAAATTTTGTGTAAGTATTCGAATATGTGTTAGATACATGTCACTGGGACGTTTACCTTACTACTTGCAAAATATTAATATAATTATCATTTAAATATTATAATTCATAATGCAATCGAGATTTTAATACACTCCAATTCGTAATGTCAAAATATTGTATTTTCGTTTTAATCGTTATATAATCGTTACATAATGGTCGCGCATTACGTGTATATGTGTGAACAAAAATTACTCCTCGCCCGGCGCAACTCGCTCGCATTGTAACGCTTTCCACGCTAATACTTTCCGGGATGCGCAATTATTCCGACGTCAGCGGCGTAACGCGCTCACAAAAGATGCAACACCTTCCACAATTTTGTTCGCAAGAATATGTAATTATAAGCGACGTGTGCATGCCTTCGTCCGACCTGTTACAACACGAATTTCCGTTCTAGCAAAGCGCCCCAGTAATATTCCCTACCGCATTGCCGACGGTCCCGCGGCGTATCAATTTACGATATCGAATGCCGCGCTATCGACTTTAGTTTACCTTCACAAAGGCCATGTTTCTTCCTTAACGAAAACCACCAATGGACTACCTCCGGGTCGAAAGGAACGGAATCGTTTTATAGTGGCGGCCACCCCCGGACAGGCAAAAACGATCCCTTTTAACCATTAATTCGTTTGTCGTACCCTGCGGTTGGTCCCCGATACCGCACAGTAAGAGGTGTGACCAGTCGGGTCGTAGAAATGATAATAATTCTTTGAAACAACGCCATGGTACGACCCCAATGTTCGTCACTGCCAGACACGAATTGGCGTCGCGATTTTACGACCGGGAAAGCAATGGTTCGGAAATAATAAATGTATAATGTGATATGTACTAATTTTTACGTTCTGTTTCTACTTGATTCATTAGCTTTTCATGAACACTTAAAGATAAATAGGAGATTTAGATATAAATTTTTATATGTATGTTTTTTAAAATTTCCATTTTTCATGAAACATGAAAAAATAACGAATACATTTAAGACAATTCGTTCTTAAAAGTCGTATGATTTAAAATGATTGAATAAAAAATTAAAATTACAAAATCTTCAGTTGTTAAATAATTCTTTAAATACAGTTGGATAATAGTATTATAATATTAAATGAGAGTTTGGTTTTCTTCTTTCTTCTTCTTTCTCCTTCGCTTTCCGTCTGACGTGTATATGACATTGATGGAATGTAAACAATGAGATTGTATATCAAACACTTCCTTTAATGTCATAATTAACAACAATATCTTTTATGAAGGCGATGAGTTTCGAGTATAATTATTCAGGAGCTTGTCGATAATTTTTGATTGAAGTGGCTAATTATTTTCTCTTCCACACATTTGAGAAATATTATTCGTGACAAAGGATAAATTTTGAAATGAAGGCAATAATGAGAAGTAAAATCTATTTTTGAAATATCATTGATATAATGCAAATTAATTAAAATATAAATGTGCGTTTAATTAATATAATAATATGTAGATATATATATACTAATATTAATTAATTTTTAATATTAATTAAATATTAAATAATTTTATAAAAATTTTATTCAATTTTTAATATTAATTTATTATTAATTAAAAACTGAAAAAAAAGATCCTAGAATTACAGAAGAATTGTATTTAATTTATATTAGAGTTGTACTATTATTATATTTATTCTACTAAGTTTGCGTGTATGATTCCAATTTTAAATTAACAATTGTAAAAGTTATTTCCTCCATTTATACTCTGAGTCTTTTTGGCACAAATAAAACTTTACTTTCAAATTTTTTCGTAATAAAGAGGATACCAGAGTTTGATTTCGTTATTTCTGAGTTATACATTTTTAAACGATTTTCCATTTTTTTTCCTCATTTTTGTTCAAATTTTTATGTATTATTATATAAAAATTTTAATATTTGTGTTAAAAATATTTGGTAATGTAATGGAGATATTGAGAAGTAATCCTGAATTTTCCCACCTTTTTAAGTTTAGAACAATAAAAAACTTGGACTGGATAAAAAATCTAGATTGCAAACAAAGGGAATAAAAATATGATTACAAACGAAGAGTTAAATATAAAGAAAATCTTAATATCTCTATTATATATAATTGTAGGTATATACGTCAATTATTATATATTTACCTAAAAAAAATGTATATCAATTTAATTGTAGTAGTGAATTCCGTTTACTTTTCGGTATTTTCTGAAACATGCAGCTGTGGCCTCCTTGTAAAATTACTGCTCGCTACGGCAATTGCCGAAATAGTCAATCAACATTTTTCATCCGTGTTGCTGTAAAAGTAGCGCAATCGCGGCCACAGCGGATTAGAGATTTTTGCTCGTTCTCTCATCGGGAGCACGGAGAAAGCGCGCGCGGATTTTTCGATTACTTGGCTCGTTCTTATACGCGCTGCGCAATTTTCCGGTGACATCATTCCGCTCGAAACTGTGTAAAACTCACTCAGAGGCAGCAGTCAAATCAGTTAATTTACAGCGTGATAGTCGCTACAGCAGGAATAACATGCAATATTACTTACATCCAATGAATATGCATTACGCGCCACGCGTTAATCTTACTTCAAGATTTTATTATTCGTATTGCATATTACACAGCATACAAATTAATTATTCACCATGGAAACTACCATTAACGACGTACAAAATAATATGTAGTTCATAATTATACTACCAGATGTATATTGTGGATGGAATAATCACGACCAAGGAGCAGATTATCGAATTGGAAGGCAGAACTGAATCTACAAAATATTACGTAGATTATACAGTGTTTAATGAGAAAGAGAATTTCAAATTAACGGATAGACATTTTCCTTGCTATTATACTCAAATAGTATCGAAATATTTTCGTGTGAGATGTACTCCTGTACAACTGAAAATATTTAATTGTTTGGAGAAAGTACTTGAATGTAAGTATAAATTTGCAAGGAGAGAGATATTTTTTTACGCAAAATTAGATCCATTAGTTTGCTTGGATTTTGTTGGTACTTTATTTGGAAATATTATATTACAGCTAATTGCTATTTAATGAACGTAATTTCGAGTTAAGTATCAGCTCTCCCCTGTTGGTATAATTGTATTTGTTAAAAATGATAAATATTTAACTAAAATTACACATTTAGTTCAAATTATTTATGTATTAAAAGCAGGTAAGTTAATATTTTTTTAACTATATATATATAAATTAAGTTGAAGTTAATGGCTTATAAAATTAATTTAGTCAAAAGTTAAATGAACAAAAAGCTAAATTAGTTAAAGTTATGTTAAAATTAAATTTATTCAAATTAAATAAAAAGTTAATTTTGAAAAACATAATTTTTATTAAATCAGAATATCCGAAGTTTTCTTAAAATCGGATTACTTTAAATAACAAAACAACTACAATATGGGGATAAATTTAATATTTGATTTTTAAATTAAATAAAATAACAAAGATATTTCTTGTGTAATAAAAACTGTTTTTTAAATATTTGTATATGGGTATTTTCATATTTTGATATTTTTATATCATAAAAGAAAAATAAAATGTAATTTTTAAAAGTGTAAGGAATCTTGTACTTTTCATTGTGCTGGCCATGTTTGCACATTCTTTAAAAATTATACATAAATAAAAAGTTTCTATTCTTTTTTTATTAAACGAAACAGGAATAGCATAACGCAATTGTACTGATAGCGTTCCCTAAATACAGATCCAACTCACGTTTAATTTTAGCTGAGCGTCTATCACACAATCCTTGAGCTTTTTTTCTAAATTAATTCTTTAACGCTTAAGATCTTATAAAAAATAATATTGGCATTTAGAGAGATAAAAAGAAGAAAATTAATAAATTAAAGTCTGAGAGAGAGAGAGAGAGAGAGAAAGAAAGACTAAATTAAGTTAAAAACAAATCCATTTAAAATTAATTAAATTAAGTTACAAGTTATTAAGTTTTTAACATTTTTTTGAACTTTTACCTTATTGACTGGTTATTATTCAATCCCGATTAAAAGCAGAATAAACCTGAATTATCTATAATTATAGATTGATGGCCAGATATGTATTATGTACATTGAATGTTTTTATTATTAACAAAACAACGAATTAAAAAATAATTTATCGTTACAAGACCTTTTTTCTTTTAACATTATTATATATGTATATATATATATATACTTTGACAAATAATACATATAAAACGTTATTGAGGTTACACGTAACCGCAGAGTACATATTGCACTTTTCGTTTTAACTCAATATAATTGCACCATGTTACGATAGTTTTATTAAGAAAGATCTATCGTTTACATCTAAAAGTAGATTTATTGGCGAAAGCTTCACATTTTAATTATAAATACAAATAGCTTTCATGAAGGCTTAACTATGTAATTATATGAAATAGTCTATCAAAGCGAACGGCTGAACAACTATTGTGAATTTGAAAATGCGAAAAAAATATTACGAACATTATTTTTATATCATTTCAAGTGTGAAAAATATAAGTGAAAATATATTAATCTTCTCTCTCTCCTATTATTAAAAATTTCAAATAAAAACTTTTTTCAAAATAACTTTTTGACAAATTTCGTCGAAGACTTTAAAAATAATAATCTAAAGAAATAATAGTAAAGGAAAAGATCATTTATATCGTATACATATTTTTTTTAATTTTTCAAAACTATATAATTAATATTCTCATATATTTTCAAATTTACGAAAGTTATTCAAACATTTTATATATTACATCATTTTATAGAATACATCTGTGATATTTACACATGCGCAAATACAGAAAACTCTTTTAACTTCGCATACACGTCCATCGAATCTTTCAAGTAAAACACATTTTCCGTTTCAACCTCTTAAAATATACATTTCGTGAAGTCGCTACACAACCAAATATTTAAACATCGCAATCGAAGATAAATCCACCGGACTGAATGTGCAATTTTAAAATATGCTAGACTGTATAATAGTTACTTTGGGAGCGATCTTATTTTTACAACATTAGAATAACATTAGAATAATTTTCCTTCGAAGGGGAAAGGGATGGGAAACTTATCAAGAATTAAGGGTAATTAGGAATTTATTTAGTGGCGATAAAAATTACTGGCTTTTAATAAATATTTCCTCAAATCGGTGCCAAGACCTGACACAGCAAACGCGATACAAAAATGAACGGGAAACAAAAACGAGAATTCATAATAGATATCGCTCGGGACGAGCACATGAAAAAATGACATCATTCACACGCAGCAAGTGTCGCCTATACCACGAAACCGAGAAAGAAATTCCGCACATGACGCTTTAGGGCACGTGGGATAACACGTCAACGTAATGACACCGGCGGCAAACATGCGTGTACCATTATATTCCACGTCCCATTGTCTCCGTATGCTGCGTATTGCATCGACTCGAGGAGTCCCACGACATTATTACATTTCGTGATCTTTCGGTCCGTTTACACGGCATGGTATTATCGACAGAAGACCTTCGGCTTGACAGACATATCGTAAACGCTTAAAGGACACGACGTCGTAATCGCAGGAATCAGAGCGTTCTGCACGGAATGAATCGATAGCGGAGCGGTCCACGTCCCTTCCGAGGCTGTTACGCCAGATTCCACATCGACCCTGCAAATAATTGAGCACTGTTCATAGCAATTAAATCTACCGTTAAGCCACGATGATTATAAAAGAAGATATTGGCGTAGAGAAGATACAGATGAATTTTGAAGACTTTAAAATATTAAATTGATTATATATGTCCCCCTTCGCGATTGTAAGTATAATACATTCCAATTGTTTGCGAACTATATCTTATCATTTTTTATAAACATATTATTTATGTAACAATCGTAGAGGTTCATGTAGACAATTTACTTACATTTTATTTATTTTTAGGAGCTACAAAATCATTTTTAATCTAAAATATTAATGCTTTCTCTCCCTCCCTCCCACCTTGCTTTCCTTCCTCTCTCTCTCGCTTTCCAATGCAATAATAAGCTAATAATTTATGTAATTTAATTTCATAAATGAGATTACGAGAAATTTTTTCATCGTTTATCAAAACTAGATTAGTAATAGAAAGTAATGATATCCTTTTTTATTCTCCCCTGATCGTTACGCTTATCAAAGTAAATGACTAAAGTATAATGACTCTGAATACGGTATAATATAATAGTCCAATTTCTAAGATTGGAATTAATATCGTTAACGGGAAAATTGTATAAGAAAGATAGAAGGAGGAAACGTGTTTGAAAGAGAACAAAATTGTGAAGTAGTTCGCAAAAGTTTTGGGCGCTGTGCTTGGAGCCGACTCAACATCTTTGTTAGCCCGTGAAAACAAGGCATCGTAAACTGATAGTCGTCTTACGTCTTGAGAACGGGCGATGCATAAAGAACGAGAGGATTCACTGGCGGCGGTTTGAGAAGCACGACGTCGACACCCGATGAATGTAATTCGTTTTTTAATGCCTCCGCGGCACCTTCCACGGCTCTTCGGGACGCGCTGAAAGCCACCAGTCCAGAGCCTGTCTTACTGCCGTAGCTCGTTTCGGAGTCGCCCAAAAGAACGATGCGTCCTTAGGAATATAACATTTTCAATAAGCCGCTTAAAGAATGAATATGGTTTTGCTATCGGTGAATAGTCTTGCCGCTGCGCCGAGCGCTTTATTCGGTGCTATTGTGCACTGCTGCAGCTTTCAAAGGAGCAATTCACTTCCTCGAAAAGCGAGCAAATTTCTCATTAACTTAAGCTGGTGGATAAGTTTCAACTCGACCATTTTTGTAGTAAAAAATTTTTATTTAAGATATTTTTAATAATAAATTGTTTACAGAGAGATTTTTAAAATATTTATTAATATTGATTGCTTGTCAATTTAGTTTATAATATTATTATCCCAGTTCAGTTTAAGATTGCGTTTCAAGACCGAAGATGATTGACTTTTTCTAAATTTTAAAGAACATAATAATTAAAAAAAAATACACATGTTTTAAAACTATGTTTTGACTATTTACAAAAAATTAATTTTGAAAGAGAAGAAAAAATTGGAGGTATAAAAGTTATAGAAAGATTTTCTGAGAATTCAACTCGATATTGTATCATAAATTAAGTTTTTCCAGTTCGAAGAATCACACACACACACAGTTTACAATTTTAAGAGAAAACTTAAATTACTACATTAAATATGTCAGATTTTGTGATTTTTACCTGTTAGTAATTAAAAATAATAAAACGAAACAAATCCAATAGTCCACTTGACTATTTCTCTCCACGGGGGATCAAGTATCAACTCTAATTTGGCCTCCTCTCCCCTAAAATCCTGGCTACGCCCATGGATATAAATTCACCGAAATATTGTTTTATCGAGCTCAGACAAATAAGATTTTTTTGGTACTTAAAACATTTTTAATTTTTATATAAACTAAAAAATTAATATTTATTATATTTTGTTGTTATTTATGACAATTTTTTTCGTTGTTCAAAAAGCAATTTTCTTTGGAGCGAAATAGAAAGAAATGTTAATCTTTTATGTAGCGGCAGACAATGGTCTTCTTAGTCTTAAGATTTTGTGAAATATATTCAACGAACCTCTCTTGATACGCAATAGAGGGATGAATACTCTGGCTGTTCTTAGCGGAGCAACCAAGTTGTGACGCAACATGGACTCCCACATTGAACTGGTTTGTTTCTCTATGACACCTGGTAAAACCAAGCCACCTGTGTGCACGACTGCCCAGAGACCTGTAATTAAATAAAGTTCAGCGCTTTAGAGTACTTAAAGTGATCGTCCTCCCTGGGTGGCGCGGAAACGAGGTAGATGGAAGTTTATTTCAACGAACTTCGCTCGCGCTGGAGATACGTTATATACAACAGCGGAAGGACATTGCGAGTAAATACCGCTGCAATTTACGGTCCCCGGTGATATCGAGCATTTGAAATTGCATCTCCAATCGGAAGTATGACTTATAAAACGAAAGTGCACTCCTCCATTCCCTGGCTACGCTAACTAAACAAATACATTCGGCACTTCCATCTCATTTTTCGCGACGAAAAACATTCGCCTGACAGTTCGTGGGTGTAACGAATAGCAAAAATCTGCGAACATGACGTTTGCGTTTATTTATTCTGCGCGATGAAGGTACGTTATTTCCTCGTGTTTTCCCATTACGCAAACTTCCATTATGCACGCAAGATATATTACACGACAAATCTATGCAGAAGCAAATACTCGTCTCGTAAAAATCTTGTTGGAATCATCGTGAAAGAAAGTTGAAAGTGCATTAAAGTTTTTGAATGATTTATTCGAGTGTTTTATTTTTCTGTCTTTTAACCCTCAGGCTGACATCTATTAGACCCATTCAATTATAAATCTCTTTTTCAAAAATGTCACACAATTCAATTTTCTTTATGTTATATTTGCGAAGGATTTTAACTATATGGAAAATTAGAGGTTCCGATGAAAGGGAATAGTTTTCACATATAATATAGCTTGATGTAGTGAACAAAGGCTGTCATAGATACAAGTCGTCATAGATAAGATTCAATAATGGATAATTTTTTAGCTGTGTATCAAAAGTGTAAAACTTGTGCTCACAAAGCAGTTTTGATATATCATAACTTATAAATTATCCATTATTGAGCCTTGTGTTCATATCATAAACTACATTATATGTGAAAACTAATTCATTTCATCAGGACCCAATTTTTCCTATGATCAGTGCAGATTCCTTTGGATTATTCTTAGACGAATATACTTAATAGTCATTCTTTTTATACGAGTTATGTCACAGTGATTTCTTAAAACTAATTAATGCTTTTTAATTAACATAAATTAAATGAATCTTACACAGAATAAAATAACTATTCTTGAATCAACCATAATATACTCATATATAAACAAAAATATTGTAATCTTGCTTTAAAAATTTTAGTCTTGAACTCGTATTGATATAAGATTTTTAATTGAGCAAGTCTTGAATTAAGTGCAAAGTAATACTTGCATCAAAACAAATTTAATCAAATCAAGATTGATATCTTTGAAACAAGATTATAATATTTTTGCTTATATATGAGTATATTATGGTTGATTTAAGAATAGTCTTTTTTCTCTCTGTGTACAAACCCAATATTAATAATTGTGTTATAAATTTTCGTATCAGTTCCGGAGGGTTAAACATGTTTCGCAAAAATCGTGGTATTCAACTTGTGTATTTTCCCCGATCTTGAACGAGTGATAACTTTACCTATATATGTATCCGATGTCGATAAAGCCCGCGTCGAACATAATATAACATGCTATAGATGAATTATTTTGGAAACGGAGACTGATTCTATATCTAGAACATTATTCGTTCAATATCCAATTTCATTAAATTACTGTCAGATTATTCACGTTCATCGGTATAGAAGTTCATCGGTATTTTTCGCCGGGATAACTAATAATAGGATTAACGAAGTCACGTATAAAGTGAAATTGAATACGTAAAAATTTTCAACTTATCTGTAATTGAATAAATATTAGCGTTATTTGAGAACAATTACTGACGCTCGTTGCAGCTTGTATGACAAATTATTACATTTGTGATATGCTTAGTTATTATAATTAATGTAGTTAATTAATGTAGTTAATTAAATGACACAATTAAATGTGTATTATATGACACCGAAGCATTTGTGAAATAATAATTATGAGAAATTTGAAATTTAAAGAAAGTCTCAGTTTTGATGTTTTTTTTTGCGCAATTATGTGATTAACAAAATAAAAATTTAATTTGTATATGCAAATAACATTTTTTGTTTTCCGCATTGTAACTCTTATAAAGACAAAAAGGAGCGATTTTAAAATTCATTAAAAATAGATACATAATACATTTAAAGTACTGATAAAATAATGTAGATCCTAATGATAAATTTATATGCGTTATTAAATCAACGTAATTCCCTGCATTAAATGTGAAACACGTACTTCTTTTTTCACGCAATCTATATAAATTACGAAAAGAAAAAGTCATGTAAAAAATGTTACGAACAAATTATTTTTTGCTTCAATATTGCATTGTTCATACGCAAGCGAAACTCTATTAAATTTTGTAACTAAGTATTTTAGATGAAAACGCAGAAATTAATATTTGACAATAACTTTAATATTAAAGCTAGAATGGCTTTAACATGGTCGTACAAACCGTAACATCATACAATATCGTAACATCTCGAGGAAATAATTGTAAATTAAATCAAAATACAAAGGAGCAGAGAAAGCATACCTGTTAAAAGCATTGTTTGCATACACGACGCACTTTCTACACAGATTACATGTGAAGATATCATTTACATAGTCTAAACATGATATGATGTTGACTGATATCTTTTTGACATAAAGATTTGATTAAAGATTTTGTTTAATAAATCATATTGAAAAAAAAAAGACATCCGAACTTTCGTCCATTTGGAAACTCTCTTTCTAATCCAATCTAATCTAATTAAATTTAATCGTTTGTTAATACGAAATATAATGCTTACTTTCTTCGTCGATAATAATTCATTCCGAGAAATGAAGCATAAATAAAAATTCGCGTACCGGTCTTGGAAGACTCGAACATCACACGACAGTTTCTCCTTTCTCTAATCACAATCTTTATAATGCTATTAAAATGAAAGTATGGAATTCATGTAAAAGAGTGTTCGTCTCTCTCTCTCTCTCCCCCCTCTCTCTTTCTCTGTCTCTCTGTCTGTCTTTGTCTTTCTCTTTCACTTTCTATATATTAAATTATATTTTTAAAATATACATAATTACTCATTTGAGAAAGCTAATTGCCTCCATTCATTAATATCTTAATCTTATATACTGGCGTCTATATATTTAGTTCTTCTTTCAAATTAATTATTTCTGACTTTCTATTTACTTTACAGTTAGTATTGCGGTCATTTCTCGGCTAGCTCGATTCAATGATTAACCAAAGAAATCGAATGAATAAAACATCTTGCCATCCTCGCCGGCCGGAAGTTTTGCCCTGACAGCGTCCAAACAGGCGTGCAAACTGTCCTCCCTTGTCGGATCCAGCTCCAATGGCACGATTTGACCACGGGCACGTGCGGCTTCCGGTTGCTGCGGATCACCATCGCTCGTACCGTCAGGTTCATCCTGTTTCTGCCGCTCCAGCTCGACCGCCTTCAAGATTTTGACCGACGGCGAGCTACCCGTTGGATCTAGCAGACCTGCGAACACCTGTCGCAGGGAGAACATGACATGTTATACATTATGTTTTGAAACACCACCGCCGCCGCAAGCCCACGTTCCACGTGCCACTCTGTTACACACCGTATTGGCACCGCTCGATACCGCGCGATATGCTTTGACGTTGATAGGTCATGTTAAATGACACATAGGCTCGACTGTGACTAATGAACTGGATATTTTCAGTAAGGGACGGAAAACTCGAAATTTTTCTTTCAGGTATTAATTTTAGAAGATATTTTATAAAAATCAATTAAGATTAGAAGATAATTGTTCCTAAATACCATTTCGATTGATTAACTTCAATCTTATTACACTATATTGCTTTTTTACTTCAAAAATAACATACATTACTCAAAAAATTAATCGATAAAGAAATAAATTCAATTAAAGACGGATCAAGCAAATTCAATTAAACTTTTAAATAATTATCCATGAATATTGATAAAAAAATTAAGTTTTCTAAAAAAGGAGAAAAACTATTTTAACTTGACACAAAATAAGACTAATCAAATAATATCGGCAAAAAGAATATATTCTTAATATGATCAAATGTCATTTTTATTTCACAATCTTTAAAAACTTCTTTTTAAATTGCGTCGCTTTTTGATGGAGTTTAGTTAGTTTATTTTTTATGATTAATAGTTTTATGATTAATTTTCAAGTTATTATCATAAATGAATTAAATGTTTATTTAACTCATTTGTGATAATAACTTGAAAATTTGTTTAGCTACATCATGTTAGAAGTATGGGAGTGATGTTTTACATTGAAAAACTGAATAATGTTATGTAGAGTAACTTTTAGTTCTTAAATTTTTATTTAATAATATATCGACAACGATTTTCAAATAATCTTGCGTTTTAAGTCTTACATTTTAAAACACTTATCTATATCCGTTTAATTTTATTTTGAATTATTAATTGCTAAAATAAATTAAAGTATTTAACGGTATTTATATAAATCAAATTCTTTGATGTATGCTCTTGATATACGAAAGATAATAAGTAAAGCTCGAATGTCAGTATATGTGGAACAATAGAATCGCGATTAATCATAAATGACTACATAAATGACTTATATTATCAATTTTGCCTTTGGACTACATGAAAATTCCGCCGTTTAGTTCCCTTAAAATACTTGGAGAGCATGCAAATGGTGTAAGCCGATCGACTGATCATTAATTAGCAAAATCGGACGAGATTTCAACATTAGATATTAACCTAAAAGTTGAAGGGACAGTTGCGGCGTGGCGCAACTATTAGACGATAAAACTAACTTCATTGCTGAATTTTAGAGAGATGATTACGTTAAGTTATTAGATAACTTTTCTGAGTATATTACCCATGGATCACGAGAGGGATGAAATTATTACCTTGTTGATCTGAAGGATCTTCTGGAGAAGTAATAAATGTAATATCGCCATTCGATTCGGACCTTTCGCGAAGAAGCTCTCGCAAGATCGGCGTGGAGAACGCTTCCCGCAAGTTATTACCGGAATAAAATCTGAGTTGGCCGAGTATCTATCTTTCAGTGGCAATCTTTTGAGGGATGACTCTTGAGTGGTGACACGATATACTCAGCGAGACTAGCGGATACGTGAATACCTGTCGAGAAACTGTCGGCAGGACTGATTTAAGGGCTCACCGATGTTCCGCTCCCTTGACATGAGGAAACTAATTTGGAGCCAGGACTCCGACAATCTGAAATATGTTGCACGCTCGAAGGGATAATGGGGATTCTGACGTAAGGCCGCGGGATATTGCGTTTCAGCGGTTGTCGTCGCGTTGCATGGTACCGCTCAACTTTGGCCGTTTAGATTTCGCGAAACCGCGGAAAGAGTGGACGTGCGAGGGATCCGACGTTTATCCGTTTTAAGCTAGCGTGCCCAAAACTAGCTGACAGTCGCCTGCAAAGTTACCCCATCTCGTGTAATAAAAGAAAAAAAATAAGGATGACAAGTATGAATGTTCTTCTCGGAGTATGCATGGTTTTCTGCGATAAATTCCAGATTTATGCAGTCATGAAGCTGACTAAGAGGCTATCCAAATAATAGCTTTGACCCAATTTTGGTGATAATTATGGATTGCAAAAAACAGAGAAACGAGTCATAGTCGACGCCGCGATAACGCAAGACTCGCCACCATTCGCTAATGCGTGTTTCCGATAATCGTCCACGTACAAAAACTTCAGAGCAGTTCCCACGCAATAATGCAGTCAGCCGTTACTTCGCGTAGCCTTCGGCATTTACAACGTGGATCTCTCGCGGTTCTGAATTTTGAATATTCACCGAGCCGCAGAGAGAATATCGGCGGCTGGCAGCGTAACGGAGGCGAACGTACGGTGAAGTTTATGCTGCCGTTAATTTATGACGGTTACACGCATACCCCTTGTTGCCGTTATTACCTTGTAGCCGGCTTCGTAGAGTGCAAGGGCGATCTGCAAGCCTACGCATGTATCACAGCTGGTAACGAGTACGTGACGTTTGTTACGCGACTCGTATTCGTCGGCGGCATTTCTGGACTGTCGCATCAGGTAAGCCAGCAGGGCTGCGACTATCGAGCACAGAGCCAATATCTGCAGGGCCAAAACGGCCCCGGTTTCGACATCCATTGTGACCGATTGGCGCGAGGAAACTCTGCGAGAATGAAAGAATCGTTAATATTTTAGAGAAGTGAATTCGTTTTTTATTGAACTTCGATATATTAACTCGGAAGTGTTCGGTGAATAAGAGAGCTTCGCTGTTGCAATTTATATTTTTTGTAAATTAATAAATATAATATTCGTGGAAATAACACTAGTATATAAATTTTGAATAATTTTTACGTCAAGAAAGGGAACAATATTTTTTAACGTATTTTGGCGTATTGAATTCGAATCTACCGCAAGAAAAATTTTATCACGTATAAATTCTTAAGATATAGCACGTTATTTTTAAGTATTTCAATTTTTATGATATAACATTTCTTTTTGAATGATTAGACAAGTGATCAGCAAAGCGAACGTTATGAAAAGAACATAAATTTTTTATAAATTCAGATTTGACTAAGTTTCAATAATTTTAAAAATATGATATTTTAATAATTTATCAGAACATGGTATGATTTGAATGATTCAATTATGAATGTGAATAATTTTAATTATCATGATTATATGATTACCAAGAGAATTAATAAATATTCTTCATTAAATTAACATTTTCTCATTTATTATTATAAAATATAGAGATAGAAAAATGTTATACAATTTTATATATCAAATGAAATAAAAACGAATATAAAAAATCAGTTTTTCAATTATTTTTTGCTAACAATGACAGTCTAAATTTTAAAATTATTGCATCTAAAATCGAGGAAATTTCGCAATAATTTAACTATAAAAACGCTCGAAACAACTCTCATAAAGAATTCAGTTTTGGTTTTAACAAGTAAAGGCTCTCTCGGTAGATAAAAAAATCAAGGAGAGTCCGAGAAGTACAGACGGAAGAATTGGTTCCTTCGGTGAAAAGTGAACGGCGGGGCGGGGTTGCTTTTGTCAGAGAGAATCACTTGCCTTTCTAAACCGTATCTAGGCTCGACCACCACGTACTAGGTCGACTACCGATTTTCCGTGATCGTCGCGGAATCGAATAGAGAATGGAGAACTTCTCCTTCGGAGCCACGATAGACACGCGATGGAATTGCGACGATCGCTGAAAATCTTGCGCGTGTTCGTTCTCCTCGCTTGGCTGACTTAATAGCGGCGGAACAGTATACTGCTAATGTGCCGAATCGATTAAACCCGTCGGGCTCGTATTTCACCGGTTGTACAGAGAGACATTTCTTCTACGGTGCGAAATATTTCTTCGCCAAATGTATGCTTTCTCGTCGATGTCTATAACGACAGCACATCGAGCAACCCATTGAAAATCAAAGGCTTAATGCAGGCGAATAGTATAACGTCGGTGCACTGTTAGATATAAAAAAAGGAGTGATAACTTATCTCTTGAGTTACATATATATATATGTGTGTGTGTGTGTGTGTGTGTGTGTGTGTGTGTGTGTGTGTGTGTGTGAATTAAATAAATATATGTATATATATATATGTGTGTGTGTACATTGAGAAAAAAATGCTGTTGATTCAATTAAAGTCTATATTACGGGCTGTCACTAACATAAGTGATTAATTCATGTATATTTTTATT